AGAATGAAGGGCTCCCTTTTTAGGACAGCTTCCAACAGCTGAGACAGGATATGACACGCTGAATCTTACTGTGGAATGTATGACAATGGCAGGACGTGTGTGTGTGTGTGTGTGCATGTGTTTTTTGTGCGGCTCATATGCGTTTCTTCAGAAATGTGTCTATTTACTTTTCCAGGGAACAAAATTAAACAGCATTAAATTTGCCTAAAGCAGCTGCGTATCTGTTTGAGTATTCAAGGATAAAAGCGGTGTCAGCCGGACTCACTTGCCACCTTTATTTAGTCTCTGACCCACATACACTCGCCCTCACACAGATGTGAACACACACTTGTGCTGGTGTAAGTGTGCGCGCGGGCTTTTGACTGGAGTCTTTGTTTGCTCCAAGCCTCTTGTATATTTGGATGGAGAGCAGATTTGATCTACATGACTCAGTGAAGTTTGAGGTACAAAACAGTTTTTGCTCTGGTTTGGAGAAGAGCCACACTCCTGTCATCTCGTTATTAGACAGACACTGCTGAAGCAATCATCTCCTAAATTCCTCATTCCTTCCTCACCAGTGTCCCTGCTGAGGGTCAGCGTCTCAGAAAAAGGACTTTGTCATTGTCTTAATTTGGGCTAGAAGGACCTTTCCTTTTTATCTTGCCTCTGTAATTTAGGCTTAGGTCATCGGTGGTTTTTCATGATGCATTTCCTTCATAAAGTCCAAGTTTATGTTTAAAACCCCCCCAACAAGTTTTGTACTTACTTTCCTTTGCAGCTACAGCTTTTTTCTTTGCTAGCACTTTTCTCTGTTGCTCAGGATTTATTGCTTACATAAGTAAAAGTTTTATATAAATCTATTGGTTATTTTGAAGTGTATGAGCATGTTGCAGGTTTCATATGTACTTTGTCAGACAATATTATTTATATTCAAGTAACTGGTAAACCCACCATGGTTGCAAAGTTAAAAGCACAGTAGGAGGAGTTGGGAAGTTCTAGTTAAAAAAATGTATTTACATTTAAAGTCTGAAAGCCATTCAAGCTTATGTTTCTCTGAGATTCTTATAGTGTGACTATTAATCAGATTGTGGCAGAAATAGACTTTAACATTGGAACTTAGTGAATCAATAGCACTAAAGAAGCAAACATCTTAAACTGAGCTAGAGACTCGAGCAAGAACTAAAGGCAGTTTTTCATTAGGTAATTTGTGTATGGGAAGCATCCCTTTAGGACTTCCTTCAGGATCTCTTTGGTAAGAGTAGCAAATACCTGCGTTGGAGTGGTTACTTCTGAGTGAGGGTTTTTATGCCTTTCCACTGTAAATGCACATGTAATGAGAGCAGATGCAATGAATGTGGAAAAAATTAGATAATTTTAAAATCACTCTTACTGTTGTAATCTAAAGTGTTTTTCATGTCTCAATATATTGTCATGTCATCTCTCACTTTCTTTTTTACGACTCACACTTTAAATGAGACGTATTTTAGCAAAGATGATGCTTTATTTTAGTTACAAGTGAGTGGAGAGACCGGTGTGTTACAGTTTCAGCTTTTTAATAACCTTTTAGAGTATACATGCACTTTGAGGGTTGCTATTTTAAATTGTTTGGTATGAAATCATTGTTTTACTGGTAAAGCTGCATGTGGGGCATTAACTAAAACGATTTGGAGCCCCCCTTGTTTAACACATCAGCAAACTGTGGCAAAGCATAGTGGTAGGGTCTTGTCCCACAATCCATACAATAATTTAACAGGTAAATTAATGAGGTTAAATAAACAGAGTTATTGTCTAAGTAATTTGCATGTATTCATCATTGTCATGGCAGTATTGAACAGTGCTTTCACACATGTTCTCATCTCATCAGGGATGCAGGCCTTTCTGTCATCTCCTTGCTGTGGAGGTCACACCCTGAGAGTTTTAAACACCTCAGGCTTTTTAGTTTAACTTGCTGGCGTGACTCTTGTCTCATGATATCTCCTCTCTCTGCTCTCGCACTCATCTCCCTCTACCTTTCTCACTTCATCTGCCTTTTTGGAGTGAGGAAGTGCTAACAAGCTCCACACGCTGCAGCTGAAAACACGCTGTTATTCTCTCTCTCATCATGCATCGCACTTATTATTTTTAACCCAGCACAGGAGTAGGTGGAGGGGAAAAAGGAAAAAAAAAAGGTGATGGGAGCTTTCATCCATTTGCTGGTTCCACCTTGAATTTGAATTGAATAATCTTTTTTTTAATGAAATAAATCTGCTTTCTTTTTACTGCTCATCCTTGCAGCATTTCTCACACATGCTCCAACTTAAATCACGTTTTCTCGCTCCCGTTCCCTCGTTGATCTCGCCTCGCTTTGCCTCCCTGCGTCAGCTCCAGCTGCTTTTTAGCCTCTAAATATCAACTTCATTAGCACTTCCCAGATACACCGTGCCAGCTCTTCTTTTTATATGTTTTGTACTTGGGTGATTCTGTCTGTTCTTTGTTAAATCCTGGTGTTGGTTGAATCTCATCTTGCTCTCTGGTGTTGACTCTGTCCTATCCTTTCCTGTCCTGTGCTCTGCTCTCAGCGTGTGAATGGAGCAGTGTGCGAGTACGGCCTCCCTGCTGGCCTCGGTGCGGGAGCAGGAGAGGCAGTTTGAGATGCTGAGCCGAGCTCTGGAGGAGGAGCGGAGGTCGTGTGCTGGCACCTTGCCCCGCCCCCTCCCCAACATGCAGGTAACACCAAACAAACCCCGCCCTACCACCACCATCCCTCACGCATTGTTTTCCATCGAAACACCCCTTGGATTCATCTGTAATCCGAGCGAGTTTCATCCTCACGGTCACCCCCATCCTCTCTGTGTGGACTGGGGTTAAACATACCTCCTCTCTGGGTTTAATCTAACTGGACTCTTGATAACTGCTTGAATTCTGCTTGAGTTTTCGAACTTAAGTTAAGTCAAGCGAAGACACCTTTCAGTAAAGCCTTCCGAGGAGGTATTTTACACCTGCTGTTTCTCCTCGCAGTTTTTACTCACACTTTTCCTCCTATCATCCATCTGTCCTGTTCTCCATTTCCTCAGTAAACCACCCATTCCTCATTCAGCATAAGTCTAATCATCCTCCTCATCATATCCTTCCATCAACCATACAAACCCAATGTGTTTGCATGCAGAACAGTCTTATTTGATATTTTGTCTTTGTTTTTTTTCTTGATTTATTTTGGGTTGAATTACAATTAAAGTCTGAGAAGACAAACAAACAAAAACATTTTTATAAATCCACTATTTTTAACAACTTAAGTAATCATTTTAAATATTGTTCATCCCATTATTGGTCAAAGTAACTATGCCAGTGAGACTAATGCATTATTACATTTATCAGACATCTCAGGGGGAAGATGCAATAAAAAAATAAATACAAATTATAAGTTGTTGCAATGTTTTACAAAATAACTGCAACTTGTTTCCAGAGTTGCCAAAGGCTTCTTCCTGTTAAAAGGGAGTTTTTCCTTCAAACTGTCGCCAAAGCATTTGCTCATAGGGGGCCAAGTGATTGTGCGGGTTTTCTCTGTATTACTCTAGGGCCTTTACCTTACAATATAAAGGCATCTCTCTGTTGTTCTGATTTATATTTAAAAAAAAAAAAAATAGAAAAACATCCATCCACCCATCTTCTGCTTATCCAGGGCCAGGTCATGGGGGCAGCAGCCTAAGCAGCAAAGCCCAGACCAGATTTTTCTATTAGAAG